TGTGTGGAAGGAAGGTGCCTGTCACAGAGGCTTTACTCTGCACTCGATGGATAAGGTAGCCACATGGATATCATTCCCAATGGTATGGTGACGAGTTGTCATATGGGAAAGCCCTGCCCTTTCTACCTTGGGTCCCAGGTCTAAGGTACGGAGTATGGTAGAGGTCAAGAAAAGAGGTCAGGAATTCCGATCCATCTCTCACTTGTACGGTCGACGGTGTCAGGGAGAGTAGTCACAATCTAAGGTGCCGGTGGAAGTCGCGATGCAGGTGCAAGGTAAAGGTACGGTATTAGCCCGCCGGCCAAAAGATAACCCCACATACAGTCTGAAAGGTATCTATCTATCTTACCTTAATCAACGGTAGCATCTACATACTTTTTACAATACCTTACAGAGTAGATGTGGGAGAAAGCTGGAGAAGAGAGTACCTAAGTGAGGCAGCACCAAGACACCAAGACAATCAGATACCGCCACCCTGTATGTGTGTGCGTGTGTGTGCTCACATACATTAGTAGGTATGAAGAAAAAGTTCAAGAGACTCCAAAGTACGGCCACTCCGTACAGAGCTCGGAATGCCGTTTTGGGGAGTTTGAGACTTTCCAAAGTGTTCTGGATTGCCTCCACAGCATTCCACAAATCAACGGCCAATCCGCCTGTGCTTACCGCGCTCTGTGCGTCCAATTTGCGCCCCGGGAATAATCACAATGCGACTGGCTGGATGACTGCATATCTAGAGGTATCTGGTATTTGCCCTGGTGAGACTGCCCTGGTACATGCTTACCATACGGTAGTGTCGACGGAAGATATCTCGCGCTGCATCTCGTCGACACGTACATGCTACAACTTACAGCCCCGAAGCCGATGCAGGCGCAGGTGCAGGTGCAGAGCAGATGCAGCAGGTGCACCTCCCAACTCGCTTGTACCTCTTGCCTCTTGCATCCGCTTCCACTTGCACCTGTAGGTACTCTTTCACGGATTCCCTTTTGGTTCGCTTCTCCTTCTACCATACCTTATTGTACGTACTCGACTGCAGTAGCCATCCTCGCCTGTTTTTCGGTGCCCTCCGCCAGAAGCAACCATGAGACACGCTTTGATATCTTCCTCAGTTGACCTTGAGTTAGAACCTCGAGGTGTCTGATTCATTGCCATCCTCAAAAGCTGACTTGGTAAGTCATTCCAAAAAGAAACGCCATGTCTTCCAAGTTATACTTAGGTTGCCATCGCGCCACTCTTCGGCTAGGCTTGCTCCATTGCAGGGGAGCATTGTTCCAGACGACCTTCTAGAACAGACCCAAAATCCAGAGAGAATGACCAGCGCCTCTGGCGCCTTGAACCAACCGCCACGCGGAGCAGACTTACCAGTCGTGCCAGGCTATCTAGATACCAATATCAAACATCATCTCCGGGCTGAGCGACACAAGTCATTGCGAGGAAAGCGCCGCATTACTACGCTACGGATGAAAGACTTTGGCCATGAATCTCTGGGCGGGCCCCAGGGCAGACCTGTGGGGGCTTCGCCGGCTTCCTCCGAGACCGCCGACCCAAGGGATCCTCCTCGGAAACAAAACGTCGACCCGCCGGCGGGCCATCCCCCTCCATTCGACAAGGGCAACCCGCGAGCGAACCGCCGGGGTGGGTGCGCTGGTGGGTGGGCTTGACGGACGATGCGATTGACAAGGTGGATGAGTCAATAAAGTCTCGACGAACCAACATCCACATCGCCTCTTCCACCGAAGCATTGGCTGCAACATAACACCATGCCAAAGTACGGATACCTAAACTATTTCGCGGTCTCGCCCTCTCTACGGATACCCGTCCCCCATTCACGCGACTGGAATGTACAGCTACCAACACGGACAAATGACCCCCAAACACCACACCAACAACCTAGCTATCTTATCACTTATCGATTCACCTCCCACGGCGATACCTGTACCTCAGTTGTGATCCATTCGTTACCTTGCCGAGCCAAGAAGGGGGCTCTGCTTCGGCCTGCCCACAACCACTCAGCACCTTCCATCGCCTTTGACGCTTCTCCATCTGCAACAACTTGAATACATGCACTAGCGGAATAAGACATAACCCAGACCTGGATTATCTCTCGGGACAATCCCAGCTTCAGCCTTCAGGATATCCGCCACTGTCTTCAGGCTTCCTTCCGTATTGTCAGCTTTTGACGCTATACCACAGTACAGAACATAGAACCCCCAGTCCATTACTCAAGTTCGCCTTCACAGCTCCCACATCTCTCGATAAAAGTAAAATTTCTACCGCCCACTGTGGGGTGGTATCTGGCACAAAAGTAGCTTCGTGGCAATGCGGCGGTCAGATAGCCTATTGACCGATGAGTTGCCAGTGACTCTCCTGTAAGCGCTGACCGGCATGCCAGTGTAGGCCATTGCTTCTCTTAGTGTGCTGATGGGCACTACTTACTGTTGTTGCTGAACCAAGACACTTTCTCTCGATGGGGAACGTTCATGGCATGGCAGACAAGGGGCAAGACTTACAGTACTCCAATGAGGAGCTCCGTTTGCAAGCTATGCCGACTTGCCTAGAGACAGGACATCATCAGCTGTTGCGGTATTCGAGGTAACCAATCGCATACAATCGTCATAATGGCGAACACTCTCTACTTTGCTCTTCCCTCCTGACCTCTACACTAGGCTAGTCAGTCAATCATTCACCTGATGTCCCCGTCCTACCACACCGACATGTCTTCAACTATCGGTCAATTCCAAGCGTACTCCTAGGCCTTGTCTTGGAGGGGCCGGCTTCGTGGCGACGACTCGCAATTCCGCTTAGCCTTGCAGCCGGGCAGGGCATAACATGGTCCTCTATACCTGTCAAACAAGAACAATGTATCGGTACCGGAGCACCGCTCACTGTAACCATGCGCTGACGTCGCGGGATGTCCTCTGAATCCTGCTTTGGATTCCAAGTGACTATTATGCGGGATTCCTGCGCCACAATTCAGTTGCCAGCACCTCAATGTCATGTCGAGACTTTAACCCCGACATTCCCCCACGCTTTGTACAAGATGATGGACATCTAACAACAATTTCCCCGCCGTTCAACTCTGGTGGAGAAGCCGTCCCGCCGCTACATTACACAAACCGGTCGACTCCACTACGTCAATTGCCTCTTTTTCGTCCTCCTTGACGTGGGCGTGGGACCTCCAAATTTGCTCCTGTCTGATCCGACGTTGCCCAGCGTTCGAGACATGGCGGCTTTGCGGGTTTTGGTCAACGAGTCATTAGGCTCGCTTCGCTTCATTGCCACGCCACGCAACCGCTACAAGACCAACCTCATGTCTTGCGTTGCTGCCACAGTGTTTCCCTAACCGCTATACGAGAAACGGCGGCACACGAGCATGCTTCACCGAAAAACGTAGCGCATGCCTGAGCATTTGATGGGAATTTGGCTAATAAGGTAACGGTTCCTCGGCACAGACTGGCCCGTCTGATAGCCATCTACGGAGAGAAAGTCGACATGTTCCCAACAAGAATTGCTCAACCTAAGCAGAGTCACAAGTACATGGGCCAGAGCCAGGCACGACCGACGAACATGTCTGATCTCCTCTCCGTACTACTGTACACTCAAACTCTCCTTCAAGTCTCTTCTACCGCGCGACCGCGCGTCTTTCACCAACGTTTCGCAACCCACACAACGTCCTGAGCGATACCTACCTAGACTCGTCCGAAGAAACACTCGACCCGACCCGCCGGATCTGCACCTCGCCCATCCCGGTTTGTCCACCCAGCAAAAGTAAAAGGTTTCGTCGAAGCTGTGGCCCGAGTTCCTCATTGACTGACATTCCCCCCTCATCTCGGAACCCACATGCCGATGAACCTACGTGCTTCTTTGTACGACCCTTTGTGCATGAGAACACTCTTCGACTTTGTGAGACTCGCCATTCGGCATCAGCTTGTGATGGTCCACGTTCTTGGCAAGTCAAGCAAGATTCCGTCGGCTTCGAAGAGATCTACGATGCTTTCTTTATTCTACAGGTTAGGTGAACTTAGATTTGACGGACCCTCTCGTGCCGTTGGGGGGAGGGAGCTTCATGCGTAAAGATGCAAGCTCGACGTTAATGCTCTCCGTGTTCTGCCGATGAGGGGTCGATGCTCTTTTTTTTTTCGGATTGCCATGTGCCAAAGCCGGACGATCTAGATCAATCTGAGTGAGCCTACGAGTGTGTGAGAGAAGGAGAAAACGAGAGCCGAGTACAAGGTTTGGATCGATACAGTTTCGATATGTACCACCTTTCTACCAACGGTAATACCGATATGCTCTGGGCGGTCAATGGCGGCTCCAGGCTGGGACGAGCCGCAAGCTTGCCGCTTCTGAGCCGCTTCCTTGGCATCTGGTCGATTGTGATGGGTTTCAGTAAGAATACTAGACGCATCTCTAGTTTCCCCTGGTTGTTCTGCTACCACCACGGTGGATTCAGCAGTTACATCCAGTCACATCAAGTCATGGACCATTCGAGCAAGGCACACCACACTGCCTAACAGGTATCCTCATATACATCATCGAGGTGTCAAATCGCACATTCATTTCCAGGTCACTCTTATAAAACGGGACTTTAAAATCTCATAGTCTCGCATTCTCGTTATCTTGTTAATTGCCTGAGCATCTATCATCTACGATGCACCCTCTCGCGATCTCGCGAGAGAATTTCTAATCGTGCCCCCAGTCTCTTTTCTTTTCATATCCCCAACAGATACACCGCTAACCCAGTAATTATCGGTATAGGAGTTAGAGAAAGAAACTCCATGATCGAAAGGACAGTTTCTCTTCCCCCCAATGGGAGATCTCCAGGATACTCTCCATGTGGGAACCCGTTCTGTAGTCCCGTCTAATGCCGTAACGCCCCGTGGGTATACCGTATGCTTCCAATAAGACAAGACATTGTTGCTCGTGCCCTCTTTTTCTTACCCTGTATCTAACGAAATCCAACGGTGGAGAAGGGGTATCTCTCTAAACGAACGCTCGCTCTGATGCTTGGATCCAAGTTCGTAAGTCGTAAGTGGGAAACTCTTTTGTTCCCGGTTGGACAGTATACATCGGTGCCCACATGTACGATGCTCTGCTCTTGCTCTACTCTCTTTCTCTGCGCGCCTGTGTATGTGTATGTATGTATGTCTGTCTCGCACGTACACTCACTCACCACCAAGACTTGTCGTCGACAACAACCTAGGTAACAGGCCTCATCTGCTTCTCCTTCCAACCCGCAAGCGGGACCTTCACCCAGACGCCGTTACTCGCCCTCATCCACGCGAGATTCCGCGTCGAGATGAGGACCCTCGGCCTCTTCTTGGGGTTAGCGTTCGCGTTCGCCGCCGCCGCCGCTGCCGCCGCAGAGAAGGCGGAGAAGGGGGATACGCGGGCCGCGTGGAGTGCGACTTGCTGGTTGAGCCAGTGGTCGACGCGGGCGGCGGTGGCGTAGAGGGTTGCGAATCTCGAGGGGTAGGTTCTGACTGGTGCCGTTGCTGGTGACTCTGGGGTGGGCGTCTCCGAGACTGTTGACTCTGTTGACTCTGTGTCTGTTGCTGATAGGCTTGTCGCTGCGGCTGGGTATACCGGAGTACCGGGCTCAGAAGACTGACGGGAACCCGCGACGTTTTCCTGGCGGTGGAGTTTCCGGCGGCGACTGGCGCCGGAGGCTGGCGACGAGGACGACGAGGCCTTGAGCAAGCTTGATTGCCTTTGGCTTGGTGCCGGGACGCGGGGTGGTTGTGCCTCGTGGGCGGGGTGAGCATGGGCTTGGAGGGCAGAGTCTGATTTTGGTGATGGGCTTGAGGTTGGAGGCGTTGCTGTTGGGCGTGAGGATGTTTGCGCCGGCGCCGGCACCGGTGAATGGGGGTTGGGGGTTGGCCATTGTGTGAAGTCTTGTAGTTGAGGTGTTTGATGTAGTGTAGGTGCTCCCCTCGGCCTGGATTGGCCCCTTGGATATGGTGAAGTTGGTTCGTTGGACTTCGAGACCGAGGCGGAAGTTTATACTTGGTATGCCCGGTTCAAAGTCGCAAGGCGAGCAAGGCGAGAGTAGAGTGAGTTGAGATTGTGGAAGGATGTGTCTTGATTAAGTTTAGTTGTAAACGATGTTGCTGTCGAAGCCCTGGTCGTTGTTCAAGTCTTCGTCGTTGTTGCAATGTGTTTGCGTTTCTTCTTCAGATCCGCAAGATGTATGAAGGATGTATGAAGAACCAGATACAGATGCCAACAATAGTAGGGTCCGAGTACGCCTTTATATATCGTTCAAAGGACGAAAAGGACGGTTCCTCGAATATGGGCGGTGGCCGAAGAGGTGAGTGAACGAAACAACGGAGATGGCTATTTGCCTGATTAGGGTAATTACACGGCCAAAAATGTGATTCTTCAGATGAAGAGGTTGAGGGAGCTTTTATTCACTGCCTTGCCCGGTCTGACCTTGCTGGGCTGGGCTGAGCCATCTCCGTTACAATTTCGAGGGCGAGGCAAGGTCGGGTGGGTGGTTGGTGGTTGAGAGGTGAATGACCGACCTGCCTGGTCCGCGTGACTACCTCACCTACCAACCTATTTCCGTATACACCTTAAGACTCAGGAAGCCCCACAAGGCTCTAGCAGTCACTCGGCCTCTCTGTGATTCAGAAAATTACATCGCCTTGTCTTTTTCCAAGGTTCGTAGTTTTCGTGGGGTTTGACAATGGAGAAAGATCAAGTTGAATGAAACGGCTGCTTTCACGCAAAAACAATGTGTCCCCTCTATTTCGGGCATCAAACAAGCCAGACAAAGAGTTGATGTAGACGACATACTCTCATACACACAATGAAGAGGTAACAATCCTTCAAGATCCTCTTTTGCTCTTTCGTCCTTTCCCACCTCAGTTGCAGATTTTTGAGCATGGATCAACGAATAACTTCAGCCCTTCCCCTTCACTCCCCTTAAACCAACCAATCGACCTCATTAAAAAGATCCAATGAGACCTAGGCGCAACTTGACCCGTTAACTTCTTGCCTTGTACTCGGCGATAATCTTGTCGATACGTCGCTCAGCCTCCGGCGTCGTCTTTGGGTTATTTCGGGGATCGGAGCCGCTTCTTGGAAGTAACGGGTCCGGGAAATGCTCTGTTTTTTTTTGAAGTTATTTTTGTAAGCTGAGTTCTCTCATATTTTCCTCTTAACTCGTTTGAACAATGTCGCTAGGTCGGATACCATCACAGCTGTTCACCAGCGAGGGAGAAGGAAGGGTGGAAATAAAAAGGGACGAGCTTCACTTACTAGGGTCGAATCTCTGGTCGAGGAGTTTCGCTTTGAAAGACTCGTACTCTTCTCTAAACTTCTTATTGTTCCAGCTGGGTGCAGCCGCTACCGCCGCCGAAGAAGCTTTGGGGTCGTCTCGGATGCTTCCTCCAGCCTCGGAGCTGGGGGTCTGGAGCTTTGCGCCGCCCGCTGCCATTGTGTTTGCTGTTGAATGAATTTTCTTCAACGATATGTGAAAGCGGGTTCCTGAAAAATTAATGAGCTGTTTGTCCACGTATATCCTGGAGTTGGGTTGTTTGTGTCACCGCTCGGTGGTGGCTTGTGAACTCACCTTGAATCCCGACTGGGCAGTAGGAGGATGTGCCAAGAACCGGCGGAGGGGGTTTCAGGAGATTATTGAATTAAGGCCTCGAGAGCTGGGAAGGAAGCATTGAAATGTGGGCCTTTTTGCCAAATCCTGTTGAAGAAGCTAAAGTTGAGGTTATTCCGTCGCAGCTCTGCCTAAGCACCGCAGTGAGTGATGGAGTGGTAAGTCAGGTATGAGGTGAGATGGACATCGCTCGCCTGCCTCCAGCTGTCACCCGGGCCCAGCCAACCCCACCATTCCAAGGGTGTTTCCAAGATCCGATGCGCCTGCTGACCCCTGGGTGCCCCTCCACACAAGTCCGGAGAGGATACTTATGTAGTACGTAGCTTTCTGCCTAGAGACAGGCTAAAGTCAAAGTAACTATAATGTCATTGGCTCAGCTGAGGGGAGCTTAAAAAAAAAAAAAAAAGCCGTAGCCGCCTCGGACGCCTCTGACCAAGGCACAACCGACAAGGGGTCCGTTAACCTCACTCATCTCATCCCACTCATCTCATCCCACCTTTTTTCCCCTTCTACCTTTAACATCATTGTGAGCATCGACTTCACCACCCTTTGGACAACCTGCCATTTTTGGTTTTTGTGTGTTCACCTTTATCCTACCCACCCATCCAATGCTCCCACATTAGTCCGAGATCACCGCTCGCCTCGTCACGGTCACAGCACACCTCTCTCCTCCCTTTCAGGTCTCAGCTTCCTCAACCGATCGATCGCCCACCACCTTTTTGCAGGCAGGCTTCGATACCCTAGTGAAGCTTCACCCACCCCCACCATTACGGTCACGTTATCACAAACTTGGGTCGCTTCAGGAAACACCACCCGACAAGAAGCTGGGAAGATGGTCAAGAAGGGCGGCGCTTCTCTCGTCCCCGACGCCTGGGAGGATGATGACTGGGAGTCTGCAGCCGACAAGCTTGACGCCCAACCTACAGAGGTGCAGCCTGAACCGCAGGTACCGATGACCAAGGCAGAGCGGCTCGCCCAGCATGCCGAGCAGAATAGAAAGCTTTGGGAATCAGCGTATGTCTTTTTACCCAGAGTTTTTCACGTGCCCAAATTTTGGCCTTTTCTTTTACCTATCCCTTGTACTGCCAATGGCAATAATTGTCAAGAAGAGAAAAAAAACAGAAGAGGCAAGCAGCTAACACAAATTTCGACCTTCACTAGTGACTCCCACGCCCACACCAATGACCTTCCTCGAAGCCCAACCTCGGTACCCTCGCCACGGGCTTCAAACCCCAGGTCAAAGTCCTGAGCCGAAAACCGGCGCCCCGAACAATCGCCCGGCGCGACCCCGTCACTGGCCTCCTCTCCCACCTGTCCTCGCTGACGACGACGCCGACGACCAACACGCCGAGAAGAAGCCGCAGCTCACGCCCGAGGAGATTCGCGCCAAGCAGCAGCGCGAGCTCGAGGAGAAGCAGCGGCGGTACGAGGAGGCGCGCGCGAAGATCTTTGGCGAGTCGAATCCTTCCTCTGGCGCCTCGAGCCCGAGTGGGACAGTCACGCCACCTAGAGGGGGAGGAGGAGGTGCCGAGAACGAGAGAGGTGGAGGGCGCGGCCGTGGACGAGGACGGGGCCGTGGCGGTGGTGGTGGCGGTGGATACCGAGGAACTCGAATCGACAAGACGACCTACGACGACCTGGCAGCAGTCGATCCGACGCCGTTCGCGCCGAGAGCGGTCGTGAGCTCGACCCCGGATACGCACCCCGAGGCGGCTTCGGGATGCAGAAGCGTGGGGGCGGCGACGGCCCAAACACGTACAACACGTACAACACATACAACCCGCATTCTGGACGTTCAACGAGAGACGTCGAGGACCAGCCCAAGCAGGCCATTCAGCTCCACGCGGACCGGATGGGACTGGAAGAGTGGATTCGGCTTCGCCAAGCGAGGCACAAAGGAAGGATGAAATTATTACTATGCTAATTTGGCTCTTCCTTTCCTTCACAGAGAGAAAAGAAAAACAAGCAAAAAGACTACCAGCCTCCGCCAATCTTTCCCGCCAGCTGAACGACGCGCTCCGTGTCGCTAGCCTTGTCCTTGCCCACGTCGCTGACCACCTCGCGATACGTGGTGAGGGCCAGTCTACCCAAGTCTATGCCAGTGCAATCCGCCCAATGCGCTAGGGTATCTCGATGTGAAGGCGAAATTCCGTCAACAACGTCGTCTGCTACTTGCAGACCGTCACCATTTTGAGTAATACCATTGCTCTCCTCGCCGTCAGAGTCCTCTGCTGAAAAGTAGGCCTCGTCGACCTCGGCCAGGAAATCCTTCTGCTCGAGCGGGCCCGGCTTGCTCTCGTAACCCTTGCGCTCCACGACGATCGGGTCGTCCACCTTGATCTGCCCACCGCCGTTGGTGCAGCCGCCGGGGCAGGCCATGACCTCGACGTAGGCGTACTCGAGCCCAGCGGACTTTCCCGTGGGTCTCCTAGCGGCGCCGAACGCCTTGCCGCCGGGCATCCGGGACGGCCGTGCCGGCTTCAGCTTTCGGACCAGGTTCTGGATATTGCGGAAGCCGTAGTACCGCGCAGCCTTGAAGATAGGGTCGCCCGTGGCGGAAGCGACGACGAACTCGACGACGTCGGCGTTGCGGCCGCGGATGACTTGGATCTGAGAGTTGGGGTGCTTGGAGGCCACGGTCTGGAGGGTGAAGTAGAGGTTGCCGCCGGAGGAGCCAGCGGCTACGGACGAGCGGTGGGCTCCACGGCGGGAAGAGGAACTTTTCTAGCCTCGTGTCCGGGAACGGCGTATGTTGGACAGCGGCGGCAGATGGCTTGCCCGGGTAGATTAAAGAAATGAAACCCCTGACTCGGCCAGCATGAGGACCTCCTTGCTCGTGATAACGCAGTCCACGTCGCGGACCCCTCTACCGGGCTTCCCGTCCCCGTCGGGACCCCACACCGAATCCGTGAGCTCCTCGCGACTGGCCTCGAGCTTCTTGTCGAAACACGGCATGACGGCCAGATGCCAGATCCTGCTGGGCGGGATCCTAAGCTTCTTGCTCAGCGTCGTCTTGAGGAGGTGCCCGCAGGCGCCTGGGGCGACTTCACGCGCGACAGGTGCGGGAGGACGTAGGGTGCGTCTTTTCGGCGTAGCACACCACCCGGGACACGACGACGTGAGGATCGGCTTGGTCGCTGGGGTCGATGGTGATGGAGACGGCGAAGCGCCTGCTGCTGCTGTTGCTGCGCTACGCCACCCAGAACCTCATCCGCCGAGAACAAGACACGCCTCGCGCGCGACGTTGGTATCCAACACCCACGTGAACCCGTTCCCATGCTTTCCCCGCTGGCAGAGACCTTGCTCGCCGCTGAAGAGCGCGTCCAGCATATACCCCGCCTGCCTCTCCGTCGTGCCGTCGCCCGCGGCAGCGGCCAGGCTCGCCCTCGTCTGCGGCGAGACGCTCGCCACGAAGAGCATCCTGCTCTCGTCCTCGAGCCCCTGGACGCGGAACTCGCCCGTGGTCGGGTCCGGGCCGACGATGCGGAGGGACGGGCCGAAGTCGAGGGTGTTGAGGACCTCGGTGTGGGATTGCATGCTCACGAGGACGGCTTCGGCGGAGGTGACGCAGCCTGAGCAGGCGAGGCAGTCTGTGAGGGAGATTTCGGCGGGGGGCGCATTGCTTGCTGCGGTGTTGTTGGAGTTTGGTTGGCCGTCGAGGATGACTTCGTGTTCGAGGGAGGCGTCGAGGGGGGGCGGCGGGGGCGCGGAGGGGAGGGTCTCGATTGGTTTTATGCAGGCTACGCCTGGACTTATGAAGTCGTTTAGGTCGTCTGCGGAGAGTATTGCGCTCATCTTGGAGGATTTTTTTGGTCGAAGTGTCGTGAGCGTAGAGAGATTGAAGGAGGGAGGGGGAGTGGGAGGGAAAGGAGGGGAGGCGGGATGTCGAAGATGGCGGGGCAATGCGTGGATGCGATGCGATAGAGAAGTCGACGAGAAGAAGTATGAGTCGCAACGTAGCGGGGTGTAAGAGAGGTGCGAGGACACAAGCCGTTGGTCCAAGTATGAGTATGAAAACGATGGGAGAGAGCTTGTCTTGTTTGTGGACGACTTATGCTTTCTCCTTGTATTCCGCGAGGCCGGAGATGCGCAAATCAAGTGGTGGATGGGAATCAATCGTTGATTGCAAATCCATCCCCCACCACTGGGTTTTTTTTCGCAAGAGTCAACACTGCTGACAGTGCAGGCGCGCCTAGGCTTTGCGAAATCGGCATCCACTCAGTGGCGGGATGGGAAAAGTGGACAGGGACCTGGGTGCCCCTCGCGGCATCGGCCCCTGAGGACCTAAGAGGATTACAGGGGGCGTTGCAGCTGGCTGACGCAGGCCGTCAATTGGGAATCGGAAGCCATGGCGGGCAAGGGACGCGGTGCCGGGGGCCCGTCCAATGACGTCGGCTCGTCGTAGCTCTCTTTTCCCTGGGCTCAACCTTGAAGTCACCTCATCCCACGCGAGGCAAAGCTCTACGAAGCTTCATTAAAGCAACACGAGCTCTCACAGCAGTAATTTGTAACCTCAAACTCTCCAATTCCACCTAGATCATTCGTCATAACAAAAGAAGTCGACCACCGCCCACCAAACCACCTCAATGGACGTAAGCCATCTCCCATCCACCCACCAAACCACCTCAATGGACGTAAGCCATCTCCCATCCATCATCCTCATCTCACAGAGATCCTCGCTGACACATAGCTCTACCGCAAACCAACAGGCGATATCAACCTTCAGCTTCGAAACCTGGGCTGGCTCGCGACCCAGGCCGTCCTGCTCATCATTTGGCCGCGCTTCATCACCAACCTCCTCCGTCCCGATGACTACCAGTACGCCGCAGGCTGTGAGTCTCTTCGTCACCCCCTTCCACCCATTTCGTGTGAGTCCCCAAAAGTTGACATGACCTCCAGCTCGAGGACTACTTTGCCCGCTCTCTAGGCTTCGCCCTCCTAACCTAGGTCTCCTCGTCGTAACCCTCTCAGGAGCAGTTCCCCGCATCAGAGGACCTAAGTAAGATCCCCACGTCCCTCCCTTCTTGCCTACACATCCTCAGCATAGTAGCTCACACAAGTAACCTCCCAAACAGCACCCGCGGGAACAGTCTCCCCCTACGCAAACGCAGCCCTCATCCTCTCCTCCATCCACCACGCCTCGGCCGGCTTCTATTGCTACAGCAGGTGGCTCCGCACCGGCCAGACGGCCTTTGCCCTCGGATGCCTCGGCAGCGCCATCTTCGCCGTCTCGGGGCTCTGGTGCCTCATGTTCGCCGGGGACAAATCGCGGCGCAGCAAGAAGCATGGCTACGACAAGGACACGAGCTCGTTTCCCTTTAAGAATACCGAGTCGTACAGATCCAAGAAGAAGGGTTTGTAAATGGGGAACGGGAAACGAAAAGAGAGAGAGAAAAGGAATGTAGCTGTTGTAGATCAAAAGGATGGGCAGTTAGACAGTGCTGGCAAATAGGCAATGTCGGCATTCCCTTGACGAAGTTCAATGGGCCTTGACTGTCACCCTGTGGTTTAGGTACTACAATGAAGAGTCACCCTTCATACTTTGCGCTGCCAAAAAAACACCTTTGTGAGGTAGCCTGTTCGGAGTCTTGTCCAAGGTGAAACAGGCAAAGAAATGATAACGAGAAAAGCAGCCATAAGCTGTTTCTTTAAGTGCAAATTGGAACACATTCCCTAGTGTACATATACTCCGTGCGCCTATTTCCCTGGTTGCCTTCCTCATGACTCCCGTGATGCAAGAGACGTCAATTTGCGCTCTCAATACTCTGCTTCTTCTTCTTCCGCTGTCTGTTGTTTTTGGCAAGTCGGAGTTGTATCGTTTCCTGTAGATGCCTCGGCTGTCTCGACGGCTTCAAACTCACCCACACTCGTACAGTCCTTTTGGTGCGTTGTGATAAGGTGATAAAAAGGCATCAATCAGCCGCACTAGATGCATGAAACCGGGGAGTCGCCCATTTCCCAGTAGACTCCCTCGAATTTGCCGAGGTCGCCGGCCTAGGTCATTTTGTCCAACTAGAACTGGACGCCTGGGTTCCAGGATACCAAGCGCTGACCCTAACTAGCTGCCGCTACTTCGGTGGATTTGGCTCCATTTGCCAGAGTCTCTTCGGCCTTGCTTTCCTGGGAGTCTGCACCTCCTCCGTTGGCGGTTGTTTGGGTACCTTCTTGGCTCTCTAGCACGCCCGAAAGCTGGACATCTGCTGCGCCAGAAAGGACTGCCTGCCTGCGTTCATGCCAGTCGACCTCACTCTTGACAACCTGGGAGAAGAGAACCTCCTTCTCGCGCCACAGGTCCTTGTACTGCTTCTCCCAGTACTTGACCTCTTCCGCCAGCTTGACCGACTCCTCTTGCGCCCACTTGACCTGGAATCTACAGAGCTTGTACAGCCTCTCGAGGGGGATCTTGAGCTCTTCAGAAGTGAAGCCTTGATCTTCAGTCAAGGGAGTAAACAGGTCGGCAGAGAGCTCGTCGTCGTCAGCTCCGTCATCGATGGCATCATCGTGTCCCGCAGCGTGTGATTGAGGAGTCTTGATGATGATCTTGAGCTTTCCCTTTCCTGTGGGGCCCGCTTGCATAGACTTGGGGACAGGATCGGAGGGACGCAAGGCCTCTGTCTCGTGGACGGTTCGCATGTGCTTAGCGAGAGCATCTGATCTCGTGAATGATCTATCGCATTCTGTCTGCGAGTTAGCCCGTTTGCCCTGACACTCTGCAAAGGATGGTCACAAACCTGGTAGATAACAGTAGAAAGGCTTCTCCCTGGTATGGCTTCGCATGTGGGCTTTCAAGGCGTAACCGCTGGCATGCCCCATGCTCTTTCTACTGCATCCGGTCCATTCGCACGTGTATTTCTTCTGCCGGCTTTCGATGTGATCGCTGTGAATATGCTCCACCAACTTGTCCATGTTGCCAAAATCACCCGCGTCGCAGCCTTCCCAGGCACAGGAAGTCACCTGCTCCTGGAAGTCTTCCTCGTCTAGTTTGGCGTTGATGGGAGAGCTGGGAATGTCGCCAGACGTGTCCGAAGACACGTCCGACATGCCCTCCAAGGGATCCGGCTCGGGTACGGCTTCTGGTTCGGGTTCCGCGACCACCGCGGGAGACGTTGTCGAGGCTGCGCCTAGCTTCTGGCGCTTCGAGGGACGGAGGAGCGACTCATCCTCATAATCGTGAACCTCTTCCTCCTCGGAGGTATCGTTGTGGTCCGAGGTGAGGGGTGAGTCGGGCGGTGTTGAATCTCCACGAGCCATGTTGGGCCGTTGAATGATGGAAACCTAGCACTTTGAAAGATGCAGCGATGAAAGGCTGTGGATTGTTCGGTGATCAAGCGTAAGAATTATCGCTGCGAGAGGAAAAGAGATCGGAGATCAATATAATGAAAAACAAGCTATGCGCTGCTATCGTAGACGGGATGATGAATTAATTGGGAGTAGCCAGCGGGATGCAGGTCAATCGCTAGAAAAATCACATCGGCCTCGTTCCTGACAACTTTAATGATGTTTGCGCCTGGGCTCAATCCTCAGGGTGTCGCGACGAGCAGCGCGGCTCACGGAGCTCGTCTTGTGGGTCCACTTACCAAACCAACTCTGCCGGGTGTCAGAGGGCACCCTGAATCACTAGCCAGTGGCGGCCAGCTGTCAGCATGAAATGACGGCAATCGCCCCCTGGCCAGTCGGTGCCTGGCACCCTGTGACCACAACCAGGCACACAGAGGCAAGCCGCACACAGGCACCCACCCGGGCTCACCCCCTGCAACTGTGACTCGGGGGTCTTGTGGAAAACAAAATAAAGTGACTTTGTTTAACCCCTCCCCCACCATAAACATCCCCGACATACACTCATTTTGCGCCTTCGCTGCCACCTTGCTCCCAGCTTTTCCAACACTCCTTGCTTATCAACAAATCCATCATGGCGACCACGCGCAAGGTGTTCTCTCTTGAGGGAAAGGGACTCAAGCTCGATACTGGTGCCGACCTTGAGGCCCACATCGCCGACTTGCGCTCGACCGACGTCGAGGAGGTCAGGTTCCTGGGAAACACCCTGGGAGTCGGTGCTTGCAAGCTCCTTGGTGAGGTCCTGGCCACCAAGAAGAACCTCCAGGTAGGCAAACAAGAGCTTCCAGCACACGTATAACCATCCACTGACCAAAAGTGACTAGTCCGCCGACCTCTCCGACATCTTTACCGGTCGTCTCCTGAGCGAAATCCCTGAGGCCCTGTCCTCCCTCCTCACGTCTATTCTCAACCTCCCCAAGCTCACGACGATCAACCTGAACGACAATGCTTTCGGTATCAACACCCAGGCCCCGGTCGTCGCTTTCCTGGCTGCCCACGTGCCCCTCCAGCACCTTTACCTGAACAACAACGGCCTCGGCCCCCATGCTGGTATTCTGGTGGCTGATGCGCTCTCCGAGTTGCACGCCAAGAAGGAGGCGGCGAGAAAGGAAGGCAAGGAAGTCCCGTACCTCGAGACTGTCATTTGCGGTCGCAACCGTCTGGAGAACGGCAGCATGCAGGCCTGGGCCAAGGCCTACAGCCTTCACAATAAGATCAAGGAGATCAGGATGATCCAGAACGGTATTCGCCAGGAGGGAATCAGCCACCTTATTAGCGAGGGCTTGAGGACTGCGACCGAACTGCGCATCCTCGATCTCCAGGACAACACCTTTACCATTAACGGTGCCAAGGCCCTTGCCGGTGTCCTCCCCAACTTGACAAGCCTGCAGGAGCTGGGTCTCAACGATGCCTACCTCACGCCCAAGGGTACCAAGGTTGTCGCCAAGTCTCTTGCTAAGGGCAAGCAGGACAAGTTGGAGATCCTTCGCCTGGCTTTCAACGACATCACCCCCAAGGCACTGGAGAGCATCGCCAGCGTTGTTACCGAGTCTCTGCCTGCCTTGAAGAAGGTTGAGCTCAACGGCAACAAGGTCGAGGAGGAGGACCCTTCCATCATTGCTATCCGCGAGTTCCTCGAGGAGCGCAAGGAGAAGATTGGTGGCGATGTCGTTGATGAGGACGCTTGGGGACTTGACAGCCTGAGCGACCTCGAGGGAGAGGACTCTGACGAGGAGGAGGAAGAGGAATCTGAGGAGGAAGAGGAGCTGGATGCCGAGAAGGAGGCCGAGATCCTTACCAAGGAGGCTGAGGAGGCCCAGGAGGAGCCCACTGTCCAGCTCAAGGACAAGGAGGTGGACGATCTGGCCAAGAAGCTGGCCAAGACGGAGATTTAAGAGATGTATGGAAGCATTTTCTTTGGTTTACAGGTTTAGATGATGGAACGCAAGAGGAATGACCCCCCATTATACAGGAGTGAGGAGACAGAGACGATACCCCCCCAAAATTACACTTCATCCCAACCAGTCTTGACCGTGGTGATTGTACGCAGATTGTCATCTGACCGGCAGGAGTTTGGTTATGTTGCCGATACACAAACCTTTCCGTCATTCTCCTGGGCGTATCGGCTTGTCAGTACTGGTGGTGTGTCCGTAGTGACCGATCCCGATCGTCACCCACGATCACCCCACGAAGCCGGCATCCATGGCGATGCCAGATCACGAGATCAGCGAAATGGAATCGCGTGAGCTTGAATGGCAGTATAGTACACAGAAGACTGTGCCATTCTAAATTGTCGGTTGCAACGACGGAACAAATTCACGAATAAATCTAGCAAACAGAAACCCTTGAACGAATAAACACATTGCACAAACCAACTCAACCTACCTACCCACCTGAGGCCGGCAACCTCTTCAAAACCACGGACTCGGTCATTGAGATACTGTGGGACGTCGCGCTCGCCTTCTTCGTCGTCCGCATCGCATTATCGTACTTCTTCTTCACTTTTACCGCAACAACGCTGCTCTCGTGGATCGTCTGTACATATCGCCAATACTTACGACTGCCCCTCGTCTTCGTTCAGCAGCAGCAGTATCTCACAACCTCACAAAGCGACCCTTTCGTCTTGGCGGTGATGCTTCTACAAATCGTGGTAGGCGTCGTCGTTGTGCGGTACGTGGTGGCGGTCTACGACGTGCCGCGCGTGGCGTGGTTCCGGCTTGCGATCGGAGGTCTGGCCGCGGCGTTCTTGGCCGGCGCGGAGGGGCTACTCGGATTGGTTGTATCTGCGTTTTCGCACGAAGGAGAAGAGCACGGAAGGGGCTGCTGGATCTGGGAGAGTGGAAATGGATGGGTGATGGTCGCGGCAATGTTTGGCGGGTTAGCTGTCTTTGCGGTGATGCCTGCGGTGTTGATGTGGTTCGAGAGAGCCGAGAAGGCTCCGGCTTCTGCTGGAAGGGCTGAGGTGAGGGAGAAGATGGGGATGCAGGGGCTTGATGGCAAGGGAGTTTGAGGATGGGGGAATCCCAAGCCAGGGAGTCAGAAGTCGGAGAAGTCCTATGGGTGAAATATCGAAACCGGGATGCCGACGTTGTAATGGATTTGTGTTCACAATGTCGAGAAAAGGGAGTCTTATTGTCTAACGTTTTGAAAAGCGAGACATGGCTGAATGAGAATCATCAGGGGAAAAGGATTTTTGTTGGAGTCTTTGGTGGCCCTGCGTGTGAGTTTGAGTCTTGAGTCTTGAAGATATTCGCCATGGGGGCATTGTGGTTGGCTTGTCCGACGTTGTAGTCGAAATTACCATGTATCCCAAGGTTATTACCCTTGCTTCAGCCTTGAGGTCGTCGTCTCTGAGACTGTAGGACCAGGCTATTGGATACTTGATTCTCTTGGATCGATCAAGGACAAAACGAAGAAGAGCCTCCAAGAACCGGTAGAAAGTCAGGTATGTCAGCCGAGACATTGTTCTCAGGGGCGGCGCAGCGTTTATGGGCTCGTCAGCCATGTATTGGCGTGTAAGCCAGGGCGGGTCAAATTTTTAATCTCAGGAATGTTTACGGCCTTCCTACTCAAGCTACCCTCCGGGAAGGTTTTACGCCCTCGTGGCGTTTGGCCTGCCCTTGGATCCTGCTTGCTTGGATGTATGGAGAGCTACAATGGTGCTCTGGAAAATTTTCAATACATGAATGGAAGATTCATCAGGATGCAGTTGCAACGGAGCCGGTTAGAAGGGAAAAAGCATTCGATTCTGGGAACCTACGAGGTTGAGGTGGGATCGGATGGCAGCTGTCAGCGGCAAGGTACATCGGGCCCGCTGCGGTGCTGCTGTGTCGCTGGAAAAGTGGCAGGGTTTCCATTCTTCAGCGTGGCCACCTCCCCGGGAAAAGCGGGGGCATATCCGGGACCCCCAGGTTACGGATACATCTGCCGTCTGCACCTGTCCGACTACCACCGTACCATATTCCCTATCCAACCTTGCATTATCACTCATCTTTTCTAGCAGCACTTGAACAGCCTCCGATCTGTCAGTGACAGAGACACCTTTTTATTCAAATGCATCTTAGGTGACTAGCGCTTATCAACAGGCTCACACGAAAGGATTCTGTCCAATGCTTGGGATACAATCTATTGGACTGGGCAAATTTCTCAGAAACCCCAATCAAGCGCTTCTGTTGACCATTGTGTTCAGTCTTGAAGTCTCATTGAAACATTAGTAATACGATCAAGGTTGATCTGGGATGAAAGAAACCTTGCTCCAGTCATATTCTCTCCTTTCCTGTCTCCAGCCAGACAAGTGAACCAGAGTTAGTAAACTTTGATGGGTGTCTTTCCGGGAAACGTGTGCCGAAAGTCTCATATTCCCTTTGCCTTTTTTTCTTTTCCAGCCCATGTTGCAGATGTTCCCTGGCTGGGGCCCTGTGGCTCTGGAGGGGATCCAGAACTTCGGGGTGGAGGTTTCTCATTCCTACCCGTGGTAGTCGACTGCGATGTCAAGGGGGGGCTGTTCACAAGGCCACTCCACCACCACCACCTTCTCCTCCTCCTCCCATTCCAATGCCTCCAATACTGCTTTCTAGCATCACTTGGAAAGGTCTTGGAGGTTGGTGCTCCAATACTGCTTTCTAGCATCACTTGAAAGGTCTTGGAGGTTGGTGAAACTCACACCACCAGACTCTATTCATTCCTCGTCATGAAGCATCCACGCAAACCCTCCATCATCGGAGACCCTCCCCACCCCTCTGGACAGTCAGTCAACGAGAACTCTGCAGAAAGAGAAAGGGAGGCTCGTATCACGACCATAACCTAGAAACAATAAGAAGAGCCGCTCATCTTCGCACCAACCGTCCTGACCTTGCTCCTCCCTTTCCCCTGTCGATCAAGCAAGGTAAATCCAGCCTTCTCCATTCACTGAAGCTGTAACCCGTTGCCCACAATGGTCGGATCATCCCTCCTCCTACCTCTCCTCGCCGCCCTGGCCTCCATAGCCGGCGCGGTACCAGTAAACGAGCGCCGCCCGCCCGCCCGACGTGCGGAAAGCCGGGGACAGTCGTCCACCACCCAAGTCACGGTACCAACCTCCCAAGCGGCGACAGCAGCGCCCACGAGCCCGCCCGCGGTGTCACTTCCTTCACCCATCACCGTCTCCTCCTCGTTTGTCACTTCTCGTCTCGCTTCGTCGACTTCGGCGGGTGTGCCTGGCGTTTCCTCATCATCGGTGAGAACGTCGGCGGCAGCCTCCTCAGCTTCTGCTGCGCCGTCTTCTCTATCAACTGTGCGAGTGTCCAGCACGGGCACAGCCTCTCCGCCTGCCACCGGCACAGGAACCCCGGCATCGGGATACAGGAATGTCCTGTACTTTACAAATTGGTTTGTGAAAACGTCCCTACATCTGCAAAGAAACCCAGGTGTCCTTCGTGCTGACACTTCTGCTTCAGGGGCGTCTATGGGGCGAACTACCAACCGGCAGACATTCCCGCAGACAAGGTGACGCACTTGCTCTACTCCTTTGCGGATATCCAAACAGATGGCACGGTGTAAGTTGATCCCCAAACTACCAAGGTAAAAAGTTTGCAAGAAGCAAGGAAAAGGCTGACGAAAAGAAAAACACAGAGTCTCGTCAGACCCTTACTCAGACACGCAACGCCAGTACTCTGGCGACGACAACCAAGCAGGTAACGCCTACGGCTGCGTCAAGCAGCTATACGCCCTCAAGAAGCAAAACCGTCAGCTCAAGCTCGTCCTCTCCATCGGCGGCTGGACCTGGTCCAGCAAGTTCCCCGCCGTGGCCGCCTCGGACACGGCTCGTAAGCAGTTTGCTTCCTCTGCGATCAAGCTCATGATCGACTGGGGTTTCGACGGGTAAGAAGAACCACATACACACAGACACATACACTTGTGCATGCCTTGTGCTAACAAGAAACCCCATTTCGCAGTCTCGACATTGACTGGGAATACCCAGCCAGCGACACGGAAGCAACAAACTTCGTCGCCCTCCTCAAGGAAGTCCGCTCCCAGCTCGACGCCTACGCCGCGGCCAACGCACCGGGCTACCATTTCGCCCTCACAATCGCCTGCCCCGCGGGTCCCTCGCACTACAAGCAGATGAACCTCCGCGGCATGGACCCCTATGTCGACGCCTGGCACCTCATGGCCTACGACTACGCCGGCTCCTGGGACACCACGACGGGCCACCAGGCCAACCTCTACCAGAATCCGTCCAACCCGACGGCGACAAAGTTCGACACCCAGACCGCGCTGGCGTACTACCTCTCCCAGGGCATCGCCCCCAGCAAGGTCGTCCTCGGCCTGCCGCTCTACGGCCGCTCCTTTGAGAACACGGCCAACGGCGTCGGCCTGCCGTACTCGGGCGTCGGGACGGGCTCCATCGAGCCGGGCGTGTGGCACTACAAGGTCCTGCCCAAGGCCGGCGCCGTCGAGGTCTACGACTCGACGGCGGGCGCGCTGTACAGCTACGATAGTTCGACAAAGGAGCTCATCAGCTACGACAACCCGGCGAGCGCGGGCGTCAAGGCTCAGTATCTGCTCGACAACAAGCTTGGCGGCGCCGTCTTCTGGGAAGCCGCTGGTGACCGCAAGGGCGAGGAGTCTGGTGGGTGTGTTGGCGAGCAAGATGGGCAAGCTCGATTCGAACCAGAATCTGTTGAGCTACCCTAACAGTCAGTATGCCAACATTAAGAGCAACCTAGCGTAAAAGGGGCTCTGGGTAGGTGATAGTTATTTTGTATTCTCCCAAATGTGTTTTGGGTCATGTTATTAGAGGCGTTGGTTTGCGCTATGCTGCACTTCTTGACGGGATATGACTTATAACGAAGTCTTGGGACACGGGCTTTTAGCGATGCATATGAGATACGGCCGAATGAAGCCAATGAATTAGACGGCAGAATTCAAGTTTCACCGAGTTACCAAAGAGTATTTTGCTTGTGATGATTGGTCCAACAGTCAGTGGGCTAGGTATTCTGTGTTGGAAACTGACCAAAGTTACCGTTGAGTAGGCATAGCATTCACGTGGAAGCCAACCTACCTCTTGATCAGTTCAGCTCCCTCAGCACCACGGGCGACAGCTGAATTGCTGAAAATAGTCAAGGACTTAGTGGGACTTTTGTGATGCAGCTCAACGGGCGCACAAAAGAAGAAACAACAGCGGAAGTATGCCGAACGGTCGAGCACTACCTGCGGGACGTGAGAGTGTTGTCATCGGACCCGAACCGTCTATCCACAACTGCCGACAGCCCTGGCTCAAGGCTTCAGTGCAAAGGTCGAGTGGACTACCTACCAACGCGGTGCGTTTTACGACGACTGCATGGCGATCGCCCGCGAGGAGCTTCCAGGGGCTTGGCTCAGCGCTTCGGCAGGAGCCGAGGACTGTATGAGTTTAGTGCTGACGGGAGGGGGCGAATAATCGGTGATTTGGGACTCGACCGGGTCGCTGTAAAGGGGTTAGTTGGGGCCCCAAGGACCACCTACTGGCTCGATTCGATGGCCTAGACTTTGTTGTTGGTTCTCCATTCGAGCCTTGTAGGGTGCGGTAGAAGTTTGAATAGACTTCTGTGCTCAGTTGGATTGTCGGACCGAGTTGCTGGCCTTGCCGTTCAACCCATTGTCAAGGTTTTGGTCCAAAGGAAAGGCTCGTCCCACCGAGCAAAGGCTCCAAAGTGGAAGCGACCCCTCACCGATGGAGGCCGGGGAGGATGCCGAGGCTGGCCGATAGATGGGCCGTCAATCCCAGAACAGTCTGTGGGAAACTGCCGACCTGGAGATGGGATGACGATGTTGATGGGTATGGCCGTCGTCACGATGGAACTCGACTTCAGATGGTTTTGCGTTCTTCGGCGATGAGTCGCTGACAAATCGAGGAAGAGAGGGCAAATTGGATGTCGGAATACGACTGGTACTCGGCGATAGAGTCTCAGGTTCTCCTGATGGTAACGGTCCATGGAATGATTATAGCTTGGGCACATGTGCCGTTTCGTCGACTAGATGAGTCACACGGCCAGCGACCGAGAAAAAGCGCACAAGAGTACCAATCGCACCTTTGTCGGCGTATGAGGAGGGGCAATTGGCGGTTGCGGAGGCAGCGGAGCACCCGAGAAGATCGGCGGAGGAGTTGGTTATCATGTTTAGGCTACCGTGTGTTCGTACGTGCCTGAATGCTTGTGTAACTGGTGCAAGTCAGACTGGCTGCTGGGCATAAGCATTCGACATGAAGTTGAGGTTGTCTGGTTTGTTGGTGTTGGTCGAACACCCAGAGCATCAGCCAATATTGGATCGGAGCGATAAGCCTGGGGAATTGGGGGGACTTGAGGTTGACGTCAAAAGGAAAGGATTCCTATTGGAGGGTTACATTGATAGACGGGCTATTCATCAAGTGGGGTGGTCTTTCTTTGACCAAGCCTGCCACCCCGCTTTCGTCATCAGCTCAGCTGGCGGACCGTGAGCCATGTATCCGTACTTTAGTTTTCCACGTTTGTCTTTTTGTCCGCCAGTTCCAGTGCTTGATTAAGAGCAATATTGCAATATTTTCGCCCAGGCTTGCCTTCATCTTTTGTGTGCGGGGTGATGGAGACAATGATGTTGCCTAGCGACTGTCCATCTCTTCATGACTCGAACCTTTTGCAGATAACCTAGGTAAGTACCTCAGTAAGGTCAGTACTGCGTAAGTATCTAATGTCTTGTCCCATATCTCTTGCGTGTAAGCCGTTTATACGCAACAAGAATAAGACCGATGATGATCCGGCCGACGCCCAAGTCACTGGGCCATGGTAAGTCGGTTAGAAGCATCGTGCATGAGCTTGCACTATTCCGCATACCTCATAAGCTTTCGCAGAATGACTCTTGCGCTGTGCTGAATCTCTAACATGGCAACGTCAACCAAGGTTTCCAGACCAAAAACTGGATGGTCGTCGCTGACAGCGGTCCACTCTTAATTCCGTTAAGTCCGTCGCAGGTCCAGAATGCGGTTTTGAGCCGCTAGCACTCAAAGTTATTCAGGGTTCCATCCCAGCCAAGAAATTGCTGGAGACTTCCGACACCAAGCCTGGGGACTGGGTATCTTTTTACATTGGTACTGAAGTGCGCTTGGTTCCCTATTTGCTTACGGAGTATAGTATCCATATGCAGGCATACAATGCAGCTCGGATAGAAGCATGTAAGAGGCATGCACCTAATGTCTTTAGACCTAGAACGTGTGGGCAGCAGGGAGGGGTATGAACGCTCCCCGAATCATCCATCGCCCAATCCTTTTTGGATGAGCTTGTATCCGAATGAACTGTAAGATATGCGAGTGTCGGCAACCCACCACAACTCGAGAGTTCAGGACTTGCCAGGTGTGCTATGCCACCCTTGTCTGCGTTGCATCTTAGCGCCATCTGGACAGGGTTAGCTGTGAGTAGGCATCAACACACGCGTATGTAAGCCGTCCTGATCAGCAGAACCTCCAATGCGGCGACATTGCGGGACGAGAGGAGGGGAGCAGGTAGGAAGGAGACGAAGGAGCATTGAGGTGGTGGCGGGTCTCTCTCAGGTCTTCCCTTCACCCCCTTACGTACCTATCCACCCCTGCCTGTCGTTCGCTGATCATGCTGATGGCGGCCTGCGGGTGCTGTTCATGATTTTGTCGAATCTTTCGACTGCGATAGTATCCGTAGCAATCTCAACTCTTTCCCCTCCATCCTCTCTCTTGCTTGACCTTTGCTCGCCCACCCCGCAAGTCGCGCAACTGCTGCAGACGTTACACGGCAATTCCTCGACTTGGACCTTTCTCAATTCGTGGCTTGGTCATCATTCCATTTTCTTCCTTCGCGCAGAGTCTAGTACAGGGCAAAAGTACCCCCAAAGTGGTGAGTCTTGACTTGCTTGGGCAGTCAGGTTGTGTGGTCGCAGACCACTCGAATCCTTCCCTTGCCCCAACCCGAACCACCAAAAGCTGACGCCGCCGCCAAAGACGCGATCGCAACCTTCCGACACTTCGCCTTTCTTTCGCCATCTTGTCGTTGCGCTGACTTGCGCTACCGCTTCCCGACACTTGCCACAAACACCTGCGGCATATCGAGTCTACCCTTGCATTGCGCCCGCATCCCAACTTTGGTGCCTCGACACCGACCCTATCTTGAGACCCCTGCGCATTGCGGAACCTCCCACCGACTGCCATCTCCAATTGCTCCTTACCTTGCATCCGTACACGGGTCGACCGATCCGACCTACGATTCCCGTTGCCTGTCAGAACCTGTGGCAAGATTGCGCTTTTACTGTGGCGCCTTATCACATTGCGACACCGTCAGCAGCCTCGACGTCTAGCTGCCTTGCGCCCTTCGCCCTCTGCAAAGTAACGAGCTTCCCAAGCAGTCACTGACCTTTGAGGCGAAACCACGGTCATTGGTCTTATCCCAAGACTTCGGACTGTGACCAACGAACTTCGAGTAGCGCATCTTTGAAGGCCGGACGGTCACATTTTGCGCTTCATACACTTGGCCGGGCCTTGTTGAAGTACTCGGCCACTGCACCAACCTGCCGAGACCGCTCCTCCGGGGTTAGGCTGCCGACGGTCTGGCCGTTGTCAACGTTTCAGTGGCTAAATTTGTACACTCATCCTGAGTGTCTGACAGCCAACTCGTCCCTTTACCCTTGCCTCGCCGTATAAGGGATCTTTGTCGGCCAGTGCCATCACTGGTTCCGAAGCGAAGAGTATACACCTGCGTGTGTTGTGCTAGATAGGACTTCGAGTCCGGAGCACGTTTTCATATCCGTGGAAGCCATCGCCAGAGGTCTTTTACGACGCAGCTACCTGTTCCACGGATTCCATTGCCATCATGACTCCCACACCACCATCCACGACGCCCTCCTCGGGATCAGGTCGGTCACCCGAGGAGCAGTTCCGAGTCGTGAGGAAGAGGAATAGAGTACCTCTCAGCTGCTATCCGTGTCGGACTAGGAAGTGAGTGCCAGATAAATACCCCATATCGACTCAACTCGCTAACTTGCTTCACAGATTGTGAGAAAAGATTCACGGCCCGTCACACCAACGCAAACTGACCGATTTGTAGGAAATGTGACAGAGGTCACCCGTGCAGCAATTGTGTAAAGCGTGAGGGTGGTGACGCGTCCTCATGTTCATACGCAACTCCTGCTACTCGTAAAAAGAACCAAAGTCAAGGCTCTTCGAGCCCCGATGACATGCAGAACCGTATTGACCGTTTAGAAGGCCTAGTCTTGTCTTTGATGCACGGAGGTGCTACTATTGACCCTTCTACCGCAGCAGCAGCGGCCGCCGTGACAGGCGCCTCCAACCAAGTCGAATACTGACAGCACACCTACCTCGGCCAAGATTGATCCCGACGACGAGACGCAAATGCGAGATGACGACGAAGACAGTGATCCCGATGGCGAGCTAGCGACATCTTTGGGCATTGAAGGTCGACTCAGATAAGGGCAAGTCATGTATATTGCCAGGAGCACTGGCACACGATATTGGCGGACATATCCGAAGTCAAGACATATTTTGCGAATCACAAGAAGGATTTGGAAAAGAGCTATGAAAAGGTCATGATGTCGAAACCGGCCAGCGCCAGAGAAGGACCTACGTTTTTGCTTGGAGCCGCGCCAGCTACCGAGATCGAATTGCGAGCAGAATTACCACCCAAATCGGCCGTCCTTGCGCTCTGTTCCAGATACTTCAACTCGATGGACAATGCGGTTAACATCATCCACGCGCCGACTTTCCAGCAACAACTTCGAGCCCACTGGCAAGACCCGTCAAAAACGCCCATCATGTGGCTTGGGTTGCTCTATTCGATCTTGTGTCTCGCCATGCTGAGCTACCACAAGGTAGGGGACGAACCGCCGGAATGGAAGGGGCGGACGCTGGATTTGGCTTCTGAGTATCGACTACGCACCGTCCAGTGCCTGATTGCGGCTGATTACACCAAGCCGGTGGAATACACCGTGGAGACGATGCTTCTCTATGTGTTTGGAGAATACTCTTCGAGATGGGATGCTGATCTGGGGCTGTGGCTGATTGTGTCCTTACTCACAAGAGTTGCCTTCAGGATGGGGTACCACCGCGACGCAAAGTGGTTCCCGACGATTACACCGTTTCAAGCAGTGAGTTGTAGTGGTCTAGATATCTCGTGGCAAGTAAGTGTTAACATGGTATTTTAGGAAATGAGGCGGCGTACGTGGGCACTGGTGAGGATGGCCGACGTGGTGTTCTCGCACCAAGTTTCGCTGCCATCCATGATCTACGGTCATGATTGTGACACTCAGTTGCCGAATAACATCTTTGACGAGGAATTTGGTCCCAACACCAAAGTCTTGCCTCCTTCACGGCCGAAGACGGAGCCCACTCCGATTGCGTACATGATTGCCAAATCCAAGCTATGCAACGAGATGGGCGACATCTTGCAGGCCACCAATCGTGTGGGCAGGCAACTACCGTACGACGAAATTCTGCGGTTCGATGCCCGGCTTCGAGAGATCAACGACGAGATTCCGCCTCATCTCAAGGTTGCAGCCTTGGAAGGTTCGCACGACCCAGTCACTTTGATCATCGCGAGGTTCAATATCAACGTGCTCTACCTCAAGATCCTCTGTCTATTGCACAAGAAGTACGTGCCGCGAGCTCGTACAAACCCGCGATATGCGTACTCGCGCAGAAGTGCAGTAGAAGCGGCTCTAGAGACGTTGCGGCATTTGGTTACTCTCGACAGAGAATCACAGCCTAGTGGCAGACTTCGATCTTTGAGGTGGTTCGTGAATTCGATAGCAACCAAGGACTTCCTTCTGCCTGCCATGCTGGTTGCACTTGACCTCCACCACGACCGGGTTGCGGAAACGAGCGATGACCGCAGGGCGTCAGAGTCGGCCATGTTCTGGACCCCAGAGCAGCGAATGGAGATGCTTAGCAACTTGGAGCGGACCAAGGAGATCTGGCAAGGGCTTGCGGACGGGTCGATGGAGGCTTTCAAGGCATCCAAGGTGTTGGACATTATTCTGGAGAAGATCAAGGCCCCAATCCTGAACCAGAGATCTTCAAGAACGAAAGCTTCCCGGGTTTTGAGACAAACCCGGAAATGCAGTCGGACCACAATGCGGCAATGACTCTGGGTATGCTCTCTGGTGGCATGACGCCAAACACGGCAGCCGCGCTTGAAAGCAGTATGCAGAGTACGAACTCGTTTAGCGGCATGGACTTTGGAGTGTCGTTACCCATGACGGGCCCGGGCATGACGCCAAACTTCCAGGGTGACATTGGCATGAACAACGCGGGGTCTCCGTTCTCGATGTTTACAAACTTCGAGTCTGGCGGAGATTTCCCCGCCAACTTCGACTGGGTATGTTGCGATTCCGCCAATGGCATAATGAGATGGTGACTGACAATGGACTAGAACGCATTTGAGACGTACACGCAGAACGCGAACTGGGCAGCTGATACAGGGTTTGGGCAGATCTATCCAGGTCAATCCTCGCCAGAAACAGACAGCAACGGGATGCCGTTTGGCAACGCCAACGGCGGCATGGCAGGCTGAGGATGCGTTAAAGGCCCGAAGCGCGGGGAGAGCAGTGCAAGGGATGAGGGAGGTAATGTGACGATGAGATCAATGACAGAATCAGGAAGGCCTGAGCGATTGGTTCGTTCAGGTGGACAAAATGGGGAACTAGGCATACTCACCTCCGCGTTAGGCTCGGCATGGTAGGATAGAAAGATGAATCCAGATCTTTAGGACATTTGGAAAATACAATACCCTGCTCCCTTTTTTACACGTGCTTCTTGTTCTACCTTACGCAAGTTACACGTGCCAGAGAGATGGGAGTGGTCAATCGTGGAGACTCCGCCTTGAGGTGACATTGGACGAACCGCGAGTGTGGTGGTTGGCCACATGGACGGGATGACAGGTCCCAAAGCGGGCGTGGGGAGGTGGCCGTCCGGCGTGGCATTCGGCGCCCATGCCGGCGGTATGCACAGGATTCGGTCCGTCCCTGACACCATGTGCGACGGCTGAGGTGGGCGGGCGGAGGTTTGGCGGAGGTGATGGTGGTGTTTGGTGGTGGTGGTGAGTGAGCGAGTGATGATGTCCTGCAGATGCCAGCAGCAACTCTCTTTCTTTCCTTAGGTTAGGTTTTTCCCCGCGCCGTGTGCCTTGCGTCAGGCCCAAAACGTCAAGGTGAAATGTGAATCCTGTGCCTGCAGCGTGGTGAAGGAATAATGCGGGGAGAGGGGATCTTGGCTTGCGCGTATTGGTGGGGGTATAGGCAGGAACAGGAACAGGAAGTTGGGAACACTCGCGCGGCGTTAGCAAACATGGCACGCCGCGCCTGCTCGCACCACGACCACGGGATCTTTGAGTCGTTGGTTGATGGTTCCCTCCCCTTCAAGCACCCGTGGACGCGGCGACGCGCGAGCACTGTCCACTTGACGTTGCCGAGTCATGTCGCCGGGCAGGTAATCTGTCCACTGCGTCCAGTACCTATTTACTTTTTATCTGTAATTAATGAAAGCATAGACAAGTAAGTGATGGCTCACTTTTGATAGCTCTTGTTAGTGGCCGATACGCGCCAACGAAAGCGAGTACGAATATTAGTGAACAATAGTCAGGTACGAAGATACAGAGAAAAAGAGAGTAGAGCAACAGTAAAGTTTGCTGTTTGGTATCAAGATCAGCAACGGCATCACTTCTTCGGTCTTGGCAACGGCCCCCTAAGCTTTCCAAGTTTCCATCTCATTTCTCGGCCATTGCTTAACTTTTTTTTTCCTTCTCTCAACCACTCAAGGCAACCTCAACTCCGCCCCTTCTCCTGTTTCCCATCGCGGACATCTAAACCCCCCTCCCACCCTTCGCTTAAAGCCTTGACAAGCACAACGACCAAAAAGAACAAGACCCCGGTAGTAGTCGTTGACTTGACCTTTTCGGACCTTGGCAACACCGATACATCACTATACCAGTCTCCAGGAAAGTCCCAAATACCCCGTTTGGTAGCGGCATCCCGGAGCGGTGAGTGATGGGATAACCCCGCTGATAGGGCCGATCGTGTCTACCTACCCCAGTTAATACGACCCCCCCTTTCACAGCCGCCTTCTTGAAGAAAAATCGAAAGAAGGAGGTGGGGGGGCGGGCGTCCGCTCAAGAAGTTCTCCACGGGACCTTGCCCTGTTGACCTTCTCCCGTCCCCGGCCCCGGGTCTGGGAAACTGCAACAACGAGAAAGGCAGAGGGAAGGGGAACTCGTATTCTTTCTCTTTTTTTTCTCCTTTAGTTCAAAAGTCGACTTGGTTCCTGGTTCCTGGCAAGTTTTCTTCTTAGGCGAGGAACTAGGACTCGACTTCAATCTCCTCAAAGGTTTCCACCATCCACCTCTTCATAGTCCACCAACGATTATTTGATCATTATTATCCGAGCCTTCTCACCATCGACTACCTTGCAGCGAGAGAGTCAGTAAACGAGGGTATCACTATCCTTTCGGATAGAAGACAGCCTGATTGGCTTACCCAACATCGCGCCCCGGCCCCTGAGGACCCCGAAAGAGAGCCAGACGTCGCCTGTTCCGCTGACTACGGCTTCGGGGGTAAGTAGCCTTACTCAATCTCCGCCGTAGCTCATCTCTTATGTTAAGCTTTCGCAAAGCCGGCCCAGCGCCCGGTTTCCTTCAACGCACATCAGCAAGCTTCAGCGGGCGGCTGAACCGCAAGTCTCGCCTACGCTATCTCAAAGCATCGCACTCTTGCCGCCGCGCCCTACTCCGTATTCCGCCGCCTTATTCGGGCTCTGGGGGGGATCCCCTGCTCCAGATCGTGCGAGCAAAGGCTTGAGAGCGCAGACCGGGCATGGGGCCAACCGACTAATCTTGTCAAAAAAAAAGTTCAGACTGAAGGTCCGCCAAGAACTCTATCCGATTACTCGTTGCTGTTCTAAGCCCGTTTTGGGTTGAAGGTTGAAGGGGAGACAAACGAACATATAAGTTACGACTTGGACGCCTTTCACGAAGTTCCACGCTTTTCTTTTCGCTGTTTAGACTTGTTCTGTACACTCATTTTTTGTTTGTTGTTTCGTCACTTTTCTTTACTTTCTTTTCCTGTTTAGTCTCTTTTTCTTTCTTTCTTCGAATATCGGTCACTCTCTCACTCTCACTCTCGGAAACCTGAAAGCCCGTGGAACGATGAAGGCTCCCACGACTTGGTCGATCTTGGCGGCCGCCGCCGCTCTGCACCAAGGCGCCGTCTCGGCACTGAGCGCGGCGGAATGGCGGTCACAGACGATATACCAGGTCATGACGGACCGATTCGCGCGGACGGACGGGTCGACGACGGCGAGGTGCGAAATGTCGGATCAGACGTACTGTGGTGGTTCGTGGTTGGGCATTGCGCAGCAGTTGGATTACATTCAGGGTCTCGGTGCGACGGCTATCTGGATTTCGCCCTTTGTGAAGAATGTCCAGGGCAAATCCCGTGACGGGTGAGTTGATGCCTTTTCTTTGCAGTCATTTTGAGTTGAGGCCCAGGAAGTTGTGCTCTCATGAGAGTTGATAAACAGCTCAAAAGCGAACACTCAACCCAGCTCAGCATATGGGAAACTCTTACTAACACAGCATCAGCGAATCGTACCATGGCTACTGGGCGCAGGACATCTGGGAGGTCAACACCTCGCTTTGGAACCGCCGAGGATCTCATCTTCCTCGCCGATGCCATCCACGCCCGTGGTATGTACCTCATGGCCGACGTTGTCACAAACCACATGGCCTGGCTCGGTCCCGGCAATACGGTCGACTACTCCATCTACCGCCCTTTTTCCAACGCCTCAGCCTACCACACGCCATGCGTCATCGACTATTCCAACCAGGACTCGGTCGAGAGATGCTGGCAAGGTACTGACGCCGCTTCGTTGCCGGATCTTCGCACCGAGGACCCACGCGTGCGCCAGGTCTTCAACGCCTGGATCAAGCGCGAGGTCCGCCGCTTCGGCTTCGATGGCCTGCGACTCGACAGCGCAAAGCACGTCGAGCCGTCCTTCTGGCCAGCGTTCGAGGCCTCGGCCGGCGTCGCCGCCTTTGGCGAGGTCTTCCACGGCGACCCTGTCTATGTGGCCCCGTACCAGGACGTCATGAGCGGTGTTATGAACTACCCCGTGTACTACTGGCTTACCCAGGCCTTCCAGTCGACGACGGGCAGCATCTGGAACCTTTCCAATGGCATCAAGACGCTCATCGCAACGGCGCGTGACCTGACTCTGTACGGGGGCTTCCTCGAGAACCACGACCAGCCCCGCTTCCTGAACCACACCTCGGATCGCACTCTCCTCAAGAACGCGCTGACCTTCAGTCTCCTTATGGATGGCATTCCCATCATCTACCAGGGTCTGGAGCAGGGTTCAACGGCGGCGAGACACCGTACAACCGCGAAGCGCTGTGGCAGACGGGTTCAACACGCAGTCGGAGCTCTATCGCTGGATCTCCAAGTTCGTGTCCCTGCGCTCGACGCTGGCGGCGCTGGATGGCGGGTACCTCTTTTACAAGTCCCAGCCCATCCACACGGACGACCACACCATTGCCATGCGCAAGGGCTTCGACGACGGGCAGGTTGTGAGCGTCTACTCAACGTCGGCACCAACCGCACCTACAGCGTGTCTCTGGCCCAGGAGGACACGGGTTTCCGGCCGTGCAAGCTGATCCTCGAGGTCGTCCAGTGCCGACCCTACGTGACGGATGCGACAGGCGTGCTCAAGGCGACGAGCGGGAGCGGGGAGCCGCTCGTGTTTGTTCCGGCAGACAAGGTCATGGGGACGGGTATCTGCGCAGGTGGCATAGGCAAGCGTCCTCCTCCTCCCCCTCCCCCTCGTCGTCACAAGCCTTCTCCTCCACCTCCACCTCCCTCTGGGACATCCACCGCAACTGCTGCCCGCTTCTCCACCACGCGCCTCGCTGTTGAGAGTACCGATTATAACTTAGATTCTATAGGACGTTTTAATAACATCACTTTGTCGCCTTGCCTGACATCCCAGCTTTGATACGTGTTCCGAAAATTCGAAACTAAAAGAAACAGCAGACTTTACATG